GGTCAAATAACTGGCGCGTTTTAGACTCGGTACGATTTGCATTTGTTTAAAAAAACCTTCAGGATTACTGATTTTTTAAGAGTATTCGAGTGGCTCCATAATGAGAAATATGACTTCCTCTACGCATGATCGTATTACGCTGACGAGCATAATATTAATCCACAGACGACAGTCTGAGACAAAAAAGAAACATTGTTAGTGAGGTCGTGTGAAATTCAAGGACCTATTCAGTCAGATTTCTTCTCAAGCTTTGCATCACTGCACGCTCAATGTTCCCGTAACCAAAAGCATTTGTCAGTGATCAGCAGAAGTTGCGTATGACATCAGAATTGGTTACCATGGCAACATCGAAGTGGTTAAGTGGTTTGACCTGAGGCCGATAACTTCAAACTCAGCACTCGTTTAAAGTTTCTCATTAGTTACATCATGCTACTCACATTCAAAAGATTGATATTTGCTACATTCAATGTAAAGTTCTTTGAAGAGATTTCAGTCCGCCTCTGATGAAGTTAGGTAGCACTGACGGGCTACATGTATTCGACAGACTCTTTCAAAAACTGGCAGAACTGTTACCATGGGAGCTAGTTTTGACTTATTATAAATTGAGATCTCATTTTGTTCCATTGTAAAATAAAAAATGCACCGTTTCGCTAACCGTGGGAACGACACGCGGTGGTACCAGTAGCCCTTGCAATAGAATGCTTGTTTCACTCCGTGGACTTTTTGTCTGGTGTTTTTGAACCAGGGCTGCCCTTAAAAAACAATCAATGGACTCTCTCATACTTTAAAGATATTTCGCATTGAATGAATGAAAATTCACTGAAACTCGTTGCAACATCGAATGTTTTTGCTGAAACACTCCTCGACACCTTATTCTTGACCAGCCCGGCAATACAATCTTACAACACAACTTGATTTTCTTAAGCGACTGACAAAAAGTAGAAAAGAGTTGCGAAAAAGCAAGTTCGCATTTGTAGCGATTGTGAAACGGGTTCCTCTATTTTCTCTATAAAGCTCAAATAAATTGTTAGCAGAAACTGTTTGAGGATCGCGGTTAAGTGAACTCACAAAACGATTTTCAGCTTCTGGCAGAAATTGCTCGAAATTCCGGAAAAGCTATTTGTGAAACAGCGGAAGACGAAAATCTGCTGATGTTGCTTGTCGCATTTTACCGGAAAGGGGCGGACGACAATCTGTACAATAGGAAACAGACGAATATCAATAAAATGTGTTGGGGTTTCTTCTGGCATTGATGGGGTTCAACAGTCACACGTTGGTCGAGAGAACACGAAAAAGGTGTACGAACTTCAGCTGTAATGATGAACTCACTCTCACGTCGCCAAGACAGATATTGTATTAAAAAAGCTACATCACGATTTGTGCATCTTGAAAAGTTAAGCCTAAATTTTTCAAGGTCGTCATTTGGAATCCGTGTCAATCTTCTCTATTCTTAACCATCCTTGTTCGTTTATGGTTTAGTATTATTTCTTTAGTGTTTTTCTATGTGAGTAAAATACTATTTTCAGGTTTCCTTCAATTTAAAAGCAGCCTTGTATGCGGCCAAAATAACTCGAGCTCCTTTAAAAGCGGTCTCCGATGTCCGAAAGTTCGGGTGACTTTTGGAAATTCTCGAAAGGCGACTCCGATCGTCTGCATTGCAATCCATTGCAATCGGGAAGTCCTGCTGGCACAGCATTGTGAAGGGAAAACGGACCTAAGGTAACCCTTTTGAGCACAGCTCGAATTCATTCAATAAGAATATAAACATCCATTCAGCATTGTTCACAACGAACAAACGCTCTTATGACCTCTTATTGCAAGACACATCGCATACGGACAATATTTTTGACATGGATTTAGCACATTCTGTACATGTCGGAACATGTTCACTGCTGATAGTCAGTTTATTTTATTATTAGGGATTGGACATTTGCGCATTGCCGATTCGTTCCCGACTGCGTGCGATTCCGCCGGCCTCGCTTCAGTCAGCCGTTCTGATCTGCTGGTGTGGCTTGGCGTCTTTGACCAGCACTGCCGCACTGAGGAATCAAACTAAAAAGTGCGTTGTCATGATACCATTTTAAAAACAGTCTCAAATGGAGTATTCTGTTGGAGGATTTTGCTGGAGTGTTATGGTAATCAGTGCGAAACTAAGGATCACTAAAAGCACCATGAAAATGACGCGGAAAAAAACTCCGAAACAATACCTAACAGGAAACTGAGTGGGCAGTCACACTATTGAGCCTCATGAAAAAACCTTTTACTCTACTTAATAGATCGTTTATTGACATACCTAGACAGTAGTTACATTGCGTAGGAATAAATATCATCTATTATTGTCGCGACCATGTACCATGCGCCCAAAATAAAGACACATGCGTACAAACGCCTCGAAGGAGTGGGTTACATCGCTGTTTGCCACTGTCGTTCCATTTTCGCACCACTGAACTTCTTTTTCTCTCTAACTTTAAACCTCTTTAGCTGTCCAGTAGTTCTAACAGCGCATTTTTAGATATGCTTTGCTCTCTGATTTTGTGGCGAGGCGTGCATGTGGCAATTTTTTTTCTTTGTTCAAAGCACCAGACTCAGCTGTCCGTAATTTAAATATGAATAACTTCGTTATTGTCTGGGTGGTAGATGAAAGGAATGACAAATTACTATGCATATTTCCTTTAGTCTGAATTTGTTTCGGTTTTCTCACAGAAAGCTGCTTCGACATTTTCATCCTTTTTAGCCATCCTCATGAGAATTACAGGGTCAAATAAAATATTCTACTTGCGGAGGTGAAACAAAAAAAAAACGGCACATGAAAATAATACAGCATGCAGTGAAAAGCTTTTGAAAGTCATGAAATACATAAAATTGAAGCTTTTACGGCAGAGCAAAACAGCCAACTGAAACAAGCTGCTTTAAAATACTTCGATGTGTTATAGAAAGAAGATGCATTAAGTTTTCATATATCCATGTGAATCTTGTATGGCAATATCAGACGCGGCTTAATCAGTTCCAGGGAATATTTCGGAAGAGAACTGTTTCGTCTTTAACTAAATAACATTTCGTTTTCACGCGCGTGGCCTTTGTCAACGGATTTGTCCATGACGTGGTGACCACAACTGAAAACATCCATTGTCTGTAAAGTATTAACGTTAGACAGGATGGCAGCTAAAGCCCTAGACTTTTAACTTATTGAAAACACTCATTGCTTTAGCTTGAAAAACGATTTCAGTGGATTATTTAATACAAAATATGAAAAGCCTTGAAGTGAACTTGATGTCTGGAACCGTAAGCTTAGAGCAATTTTCATAATCAGCACGGTGTATTTGTTCCTAAAATTGCCCATTATGTAATGTCTGGAACAAATTTAAATTATGTTGCTGTAGTTTGATACCAACAATTGCTCACGAACCGTCTACGACTCGCTTCTTTTTACTGCACGATTTTAATGCTTTTGACGTCAGGAATACTAGCACTTTTACCAAGCTGCATATATACTGGTATTTATTTGGGAAATTTGAGGGGCCAAGATCGGGGGAATGTACGTGCAGCAGAATGTATGCTTTACCTATTTTGTGACCACCGACCGCGCCATTTAATTATCGCTTTTATGAAATGACAATAATATTTCACTTTTCTCACCATGTTGCTCTCTGGCTAAATGAATCATTCGGTAAACGAAGGATTAGAAAAAAAGTGAATAATCAATATAATTGTTAAAAGTTTCATCCGAAAGATTTAAAACGCATATAAAGAAACATACAGGCAACTTTAAATTTAATGTGGAGATAAAAAGTGTCTCTCAGTCCGGTTAAGATATAATTGGTGCGTCTTTGCCGAACGCGCTACGCGTTCATTTTGCGTCCAAAAGAGATTAAAAAGCACCAAAGGGATTGCTGCAAAAAAACGCTTTCAAAATAAAATTTCTCGCTGCGAAGGAAAAACCCCACGAGTGCAGCCGCTTACTTCAGCTGAAAACAACAGCTGCTGAAGTCTCTTTCTCTTTCAATATCTCGTCATGGATCTAATTTTGTGATGTCTGAAAATTATTCCCCCACAACGCCGCCCATGTCTATGAAAGCCACCTTGAACTTCTCATTTGCATGCAATCCCGACATTTCCTAACGACGGTTCACAAAAAACAGGAAAATTGTTTGAAGTGTCAGTAGAGAGTGCGTGCAAACATCAGTGTATATTCGTATTTTCGGGCAGGTAATGGCGTAACATACATACCAATAAGCATAACAACGTACAACTCTAAATTAACATATCGTTAACCTTTCTCGTCACCGTTACATTTTCTCGGCTTTTGTTTCTCTGTCAAGGGCAAAGATCTTTCTGCATTTTCCATTCCGTGCTCAATTAAACCTTTAGTCACAACGGTTCGTATAATTTTCATGTGTGTAGTTTGTAGACAAGAACAGAAAACACGTGAACCTTAACCAATCGGGAGTAAAGCACAATATCAAACTTGAAGTCTCGGAAGCTTTTTTGGAGCGCAACTCCGTCATTGCCGAAAATATTTTTCTTGCATGCATACGCGCCCTGAGATGCGACAACACGTCAGAATACTGTGCCCGTACGCGCGTGCCTGAATGGAGTCTTTTACCTTAAAAGGACGCTGCTCAGTCAACATGGCTTGATTTGTCGTCCGTAATGTACACAAAGTGGTTTCAGGCCGATAACTCTGAATATATAGCTTAGCTGTGTCAAAAGACACTACTTCTAAACATTAATCAGTGAGATAAGAGAGCTGTCTGAACGCTTCAATTAACCCTTCACCGGCTTTTATGGGATTTATATTGCCTCAGAAACGAAGCATTAGTACAGAAGCAAGCTATTCTTTCAATCGGAACGGATAAGTCGACTCAGTCTGGCCAGTCGCGTATGACAGATTAGTGTGAAATGACATCTGAGTAATTTCAGGACGAAAATGCACTCACCACCTCCATACCGGATGTCGAGATACTCCAATGATTCAAGCAAACTCTGACACAAAACACAACCCTGATTAAAAATATAATATATTCATTTTAGGCGTATTTCTTCACTCGCGTAACAACATTATACAACAATAAAGCTGTACAAAGGATTGTTTCTCCTAGGGAGAATACTACTTTGCTGTCCAAATTTCACATGTTCTCGGACTTGGTCCGTTCATTTGAGTTCCTTAATTTATATTTTGGTCCAGTCAATATTCTATATACAATATACATAATATAATCTATGACGGTATCATACTTATGTTTCTATAACTCTGTGAAATACTAGACGATCGATCGAAGACACGCCAAATAAACAAATCGCCTCTCTGACCGTCCCTCCCTCTCTCCTCGCTCGCAAACACGCGTGCTACCGCGACACGAAGAGATGCACTTCAATCCAACATGGACAAGAAGTTACAAGGGGTCGGCAATACTGTGCTGATGACGTTACACCCCAGCCTTTCTTAAAACTTATTCGAACCGATTCGGGATGATAACATCTTACTCCTGCACTATCCACCGCGCGGCATGCTTCACCAGTGAAATTGTTGTAATCATACACCTTGAGCGAATAGCCGGGAGGAACTTTATGTACAAGAATATTATGTCTAGTTTTTCCGCCAGGACATTTTTCATTGGAATAAGTCAGTGTTGGGCCATTTGCGAATAAATCGCAACCACTGCGATTATAAATCCATATTCCGTCTTTTTCGCGTGTCAATTGAAGTCCATAACCTATTTGTGCTCGTACTCTCTTTGTCCTGTCGGGGACGTCAGTTCGTCGATTTAGAGCTGCTAAACAGAATCCGCTAGGCTCCGGTAGAGTTTCAAATACATTGATAACATCAGTAGTTCCTTCAAATGAGGGTCCGATTCTTTCACTTTGCTCCCAGTAAGCTATCGAACACCAAGGTCTGGACCAATGTTGATCAGTCGAAAAACAGTAATCTGGCCCTGCAATGGCAGTGAAAAATTAGCAACACAGTATCATGCATGTCTACAAATGTTGAATTCGATAAATAATTGAGCAATCTGATGGAGTGGGGTTTCGACGAACTCATAACAAATAAGAAAGCCCGATGGCAAAGGCCTCACATACCGGTCGCACGGAAGAGTTAAACATCCCATAGCACAAACACAGCAAAAGGTCAAAGAAAGGTATTCGAAATTTTTTACCTAATGTTTGTGAAGCTGGCCGAGTTTGGGACGTTCTGCAGTCCAAAGGGCAAGTTGTTGACTGCGTAAGGTTGCTAGTAAACCCTGCAAAGTAAAACGAATATTTGTGTGAGAAGCAGACGGATTGAATGTCTGGAAGAGACACAAGCACGTAACTCTATTAAGAACGAAGTTTCCAATGTACATGCCTGAAGATTCCTCATTTTTGACCTCCATCGTGCTCGGCAGCGTCGTATAAATCGCACTGACTTGCCCTGCCAAGTAAAACACCAGATTAATCACAAAAAGAATGAAACGGCAAAGCGAGAAAGAACCGTCTCGTATGCAAATGAGATGCAAAAAATATTATAAAATCTCGAACACAAACATTGTCATAAGAGCGCTTTGAGCAAGATTTCGAATTTCATAGCATAAAACCTACCCGTATTCATGATTGCACTGTAGTGGTAAGGATTAATACACACTTTCTTGTCGAGGCCATTATGTGTCGAGCAGCAAGAACTGCGTTTGAGTTCAGCCGAGCTTCGAACCTGCGGCAGCCGAAATACTCGGAACAACACAAGTTGCGGTTCGACCACTACTTGCCTGCCCAGTCTCTCCTGTGTCGGAAAGAATACACAAGTTGTTTCGAGGCCGCCGCGTGATTCCAGCGCCCTTTGCAGAGTCGAGAACTCCTTCTCGTGCAGTCGCTTCAAGATCGAGTGAGTTACTGATTTGAGTTCCGCACTTTCCTCAGGCGAAAAATCCTTGCGGCCAGTGGGAACGAAGTAATTCTCGAGTGCGGACAGTTTGCTTACCAGTCTCAACAACTTGAACATATAAGCTACACATTTGTACTTAGCGATCACATCCAGCCGATCTGAAAGATTTGCGTGGTCTAGAAAGCGAAGGAAGGATCGAAGTTCCTTGATCACGTCGCAAGCTTGTACGTCTAGACAGCATGTAAGGAGCTGGCAGATTCGCATCAACTTATTCGTCTCACAACCATTGCACACAACGGTAACTCAGCGCCGACGTACCAGCAGAAGAAAAACAATCTTATTGGCTGCATTGAAGTCACGTGCCTGTCTAGACACTTTGCCGCGTCTATAGTTGTCTGATGTGGTGTTACGCAAATAACAATTTCAATAAGCTCTCCTGCCAAGTGATTGGTCAGGATTATGATGGACGGAAATCACTCATGATTCCCCGCAAAAGATCGAATTCACAATGAGCTGATTCCACTTTGTTTGTTCGGAAGATGTCTGGTTTCTTTGTGGATTTGGGGTATTTTGTATAAGCCATGTGGTGTACTGTTAAAAACAGTCCTGTGGGTAGCCCAGATGTTTGGAGTTTATTCAAATTTTCTTTTACTGTTTGTCTTTTTATACCGGACCAGTTTGCGGCGAGTATTCCTTTTTCACTTTACGGTTGAAATCAATCGCAAAGAAAAGAGAATTCGTTTTAATGCCAAATTCTCAAAATGAAACTTACTGCAAGTTGTAATTGACGGGTTCAATATTGCCGGGAAAGTCACGGAGAGATTGAAACAATAAAGAAGATCAAAATAAGTTCGTTTACCTTTTATTCCTGCTTGTACCAGCTGAGGTCAGCCTTGAAATCCTATTAAAAACCAGCAAGAATTACTTTTTTACCGCACGCCGCTACGAATACCACTATTGAACCAAATATCAGTTTCCATAATTTTCAATATTATTGTTTTATTTTATGCGCAGTCATTCTGAGTCAGCGGTTTCATTTCTAAGAACAAACCCCACTTTTATCCGCAGTGGCGAAAAATATACCTGCCGAGAGTCTGTTGTGCACTAGCGGGGAGTACCCTCGGGGGAGTACCGCCCTTTGCTGAGATCTATTCTCAGTCAGTTATCTTGATAGCTTATTGGAATTGTTTTAGTACACATTATGGTCAAGTGTAAGTGGAGTCGTATGGAAGGGAGATTGATGTTTCCCCTCGTCTTGTATAGCATGGCCTAATCACAGGTGGCCCGGCCCGGCCCAAGCACACAAATGTACAGGATTTGCACGGGAAAAACGGTTATACTCTTAGGCCTAAAAAAAAAACACAAAGGAGTAGTATTGCTTCAGTTGGTCGATTTATGGCAATTTGGGTGGTGTCTCTTAAGTTTCACTGCTTTGTCCGCCCAGTATATACAAGGCAGTGAAGCTAATAAAAAACACCTTAATTGCCATAAATCAACCTAGATACCTCACGGACACTAATGAAACACACACCTCGAGCAAGGTAGTTTCATCTTTATTCATACTCCTTGGTATTTTTTAAGATTAAGATCACAACAGTTTTTTTTTCCCATACAAATAACAAATCCTTATATTTCGACTATTGGGTAACCCGAGTATTACTGTATGTACCGGCACGCTCTTGGGCCATCTGTGGCTTATTTAGCTGACAGGCTGCTCAGACAATGTGAGGAGTCACGGGAAGAAAGAAAAAAATACAAATTCTTAAGTATGCTGCGCTGCGGCACATGGTGCTGTATAAACTCGCGATCTTCACGTGCAGCAGCACGCGCGCACAACCTCCGGCTCGACTCATACGAAAACGTTTCTCTTTGGATAAGACCCTGGTTTGTTTACACACTCGAATGTTTCTTTTTTTTTTTAATGACGTGTTAACATTTCTACTACCGTTCAGTATTTTGGGTGCAAGTGAGCCTAGGCCGGTTATCCTGTCGCTCAGCTGGGAACAACTTTACTTTGTCTCCAAAGGATCGGGGATTTTTTAATGTACTTTGTACCTCCCGTAGGTAAAGCACTCAATAACGGAAATATTTATGGCTTAAACATATGTTACCGTCGAACGAGTTTTAGACTTAAAAAAAATAGCGTCTGGGATATTAAGAGATACAGATGATTGGCGGACCACTAAATTTTGTCCCGGGAAGTAGCCAGGGATTGCCAAGCTCTAATGTTACCCTACTTTAGGTTTATCTTGTCTCGCTTCGCCGTCAACTTTTAATTAAAACGTCCCAACGTCAGTTCCAAATGTAATTGTTGTAACAAGTCGTTAGACATCTTGAAGAATAACAACAGGTTTAATCACCCGCGCAATAGTTCCGGACGTGTTCATTTTTCTCACCTGGTTTTTGTACGGCCATGTCCACACGTAAGCAAACACATTTTTTTTAGCCGCCTTTCGTTCACACATAGCGAAAAGTAAACTGTCTATTTTCTTATATTTCATAAAATATTTCTGCTCGAGCGCGATTGGTTTAAACACGTCACGTGACCGAATATTCTGCGCGTGTTGCGAAAAATATTTGAAGGATAATAAACACAATAGCCTCCATTTGGCGCGAAAATGTGCTCGGATATTCGTCCTTGGACACTATCTGTTCCTCAAAGCTCACAGTTTTCCTCGAGCTACGCTTTCGGAACAGATAATGTCCGCGGACAAATATCTGAGCAGATTTTCGCGCCAAGTGGAGGCAATTGTTTATTTATATAATAATTAAATGAATGCGCGCGCCCTGATTGGTCAATCGGCTATGGTTTATTGTGCCAGGAAAACTCACGGAAATTTCGCGTGTCTTCTGAATTAATATATAAAAGCAATAGACCACAAGTTTCTATGGTTTAGAGGCATGATAAACCACTTGAGATGTTGGAAGAACACTCGAAGAATTCGTAAATCACTCACCTGCGGCTCGTGATTTACGAATTCTTCTCTTGTTCTTCCAACATCCCGCGTGGTTTATCAGCCTATAAACCATAAAAACTTGTGGTCTATTGCTTAAATATACGTTCTCTGGAGAAGGTAAATTCATAAACAATTAACGATTAGCCATCTTTGTGTACTTATTTTGGTGTCGATACTCGCTATCCATGGATAGAAATTTCCATTTGTAAACGCTAATGTCGCAACGCTGCTCATTGCAGCTGTGAAAACCAGTATTGTCCAAAGTCCTCCTCAAGTGCTAGATACATTTGAGCGGTTACGATTCCTTTCTTGCCTTACATCGCATCGTTCCGGTTAACAGGTGTAAATCATTCGTAAATGATTACCGGACTCTCAACGATGGTATGTTTTTACAGATCCATACCTATGAATTAAGTATGCTCGTTAACATAGCCTCGCTCCCAATGTGTGGCTTCATAGCTCAGTTGGTAGAGCATCGCACCGGTATCGCGGAGGTCACGGGTTCGAATCCCGTTGAAGCCCTGATTT